TTAACATATCTGTGGTACGTATTCAGCACATCATCATGCTTTAATTTGATTAAATTAACAATTGCTGTGCTGTTTAAATTACATCTTTATTTTATTGTCATTGCTATAATGGGACAACTACAACCACTAAAGGGTCCACTGTCCACCTCCCAGATGATACATAAGTGAATACGGTGCAGCAGTGGAATGAAGTTGGAAGGGGAAACTTGAAGGAATCAAAAAAAAAAAAAGTGTCCCAATGACACTTTGTCCACCACAAATCCCACAAAGACTGCCCTGGAAACAAACCCTAGCATCCAGCATAAGAAGCTGGAAATTAAGTGTATGTCCTATGACAAAGTAGATATAAATCACTTGGTTGTGTTCTGTTATGTCCACTGTTCTCCACTTACTTCTATATGATGAGTACAAAAATAAAATTATTCACTTTTATTTGGAAAATTAATAACAATATATTGTTTTTTAAGCCAATATTTCAGGTCAATCAAATATAGAACTGAGACATATAGACACTTAAGTAAGGGACAATCCCCTAGCACTGGATATCCTGAAACCATGTTCTGAAGAAATATACTCACAGTGACTTCCTGCTTAATAAAAGAAGACTGTACTGGTAACTCATATGCTTCCTGCTTAATATCAATACACTTTTCTTCATCTGGTGATATTACTAAGGAACTCTCACCTTCCAACATAGGTTCAGCTTTGATTCTGTCCATGTTAGCTGCAAAGCAACATTCTTTATATCAGTTTATAACTCCTGATCACTTATTCAACTTACGGCCTACTTATACTACTACGTTACACCATACAGAAATGTTAATAAAGGTAAAATTTATATAAATTCAAGGTAAATGTGCAGAACATACTCTGGGTTTCCCTCAACTTACTTCACCTGACCAAACTAAAGGAAACCAAGAACAAGGGTCAATAACCTAGATGTGATAGGGTAGGGTGAAAAAGTCAAATCCATTATCTTCTTCTGCACTTCACAAATTAGGCTCAATCCTGTTCAGACTTTATAGCCATCTTTTGAACGATTCCCTTGCATATCTGGGCTTAACTGAACTAGTGTTCGGTACATTTAGTTTGACAGCACTGGGTGCATTCCTTGTTAGGTTAAGTCAGGTCGGCTAAACTAGTATTTCGCATTTTTGGTTTATAACATCCTATGGACACCATTTTTTCAGCATAATAAATAAATTCCATAGCAAACACGCTGGAACTAAACGCCGGATTTCGTATAATGGAAAGAAAGGGCAAGAAACCTCCATCTCTCTTCTGCTATGTTACAGGATACTACACAAAATTAAATACGTATGGTATGAACGTTTCAGGAAGCTTAATAACAACTGTCATTTTTAATGAAAAAGTGTTCTCTCCCGTGGGTACTTACTGTCTTCATAGACTTAATAACCAGGTCAATAGATGTTACTTTGAATCAGCATATATTTAAGCCAATGGCATAGGCCTGTTACACTTCCTATCTAATTCAAGATAATTATAAATGCAAAAGCAAATTCTTAGATACGTTTCTTAACACAACTAAAATTTGTATTATCTGCGATCACAATCAACACCCTTAATACGCCATTTTGTATTAAGATTTATTGGCCAATCATATATCGCCTCGCTTGTTACCAAAGATGATCTTTAATTCCACGATCTCTCTCCATGGTCAAGACACATGCAGTCGTGATGCCCTGATCATTACACCTTTGTAGCTTTATACTAACATCCTTATCATTTGATATTAAATATCCTAAGTAATTAAAACTAGAAACTTGTTCTATAATTTTTCCTTCCGTTTCGTTTGACACGTTTTGTTTTTCCATAGGTTCCTACTGATTTTGTTTTTGTAAAAGATATCTGTCATATTTCTTGATTTTATTTAGTTCATTTACTGCCATTTGTAACTCATCCTCAGATTTTGCTATTATAGCTACTCTCATAAACTACAATTTGAATCATGTAGTTGCAGTATACACAACAAAGGGTCTTCTGACAGAACTACAAAATCAGTCTGAGTTTTGAAAAATGTTGCATTTTTAAGCTTCAGAATTCTAATGTTCAATATTACATTCCACTTCAAAATACTTTGTAAAAAATGTATTCTACTTAACATACTTTCACAAATTACATGTTCTTAGTGTGCAAACAGAATAATCATGGTAATATGTTTTCGACTCAATATTTGTACACGTCCTGAGTGTTCCATGTTATTCAGCAACACTCTATTCTATTCTATTCTATTCTATATACAACTGACTGCGTATGTTAACTGGATGCCAACACTGATGAATCACATTTGGTACATACAAAGTTTCAGTCCAAGGAAATTTGGCAGTTTCAAATGGTTAATCAAATTCTATGCAGTATTGGTACCCTCAAATAGGGTACAACTGCACCTTTCCTTGTTCTTCCCATCCTTTCTGGTTGTACGAGGCGCGTCCTCAAAGTAAGTTTCCCACTCATCCCACAGCTAGCAAACCTTATATTGCGCGAAGCGACTGTGCGTACGTGATAGAGCAATGACGTAGCATGGCGCATGCACTAACGGCACCTCCCGCGTTCTCACAGTAGCATCGTTGCAGCTGTTGAAGATGGAGGTTCTTATTCCAGCTCCCGCCGACTGTGAAGTGCGGTCAGTGATAACGCTAAGCCGCACACGGCTCGACGGACAGCAAGTCTCCTGCAGAAGTTCAGCTGGGAGGTGTTTAATCATTCACCCTACAGCCCGGACCTCGCTCCCAGTGATTTCCATCTTTTCCTACACCTCAAGAAATTCCTGTCCGGTCAGCGTCAGCGTCAGCGTTTTGAGAATGACAGAGAGGCGGAGATGGCTGTCACACAGTGGTTCCAATCCCAGGCGGCAGACTTCTACGACACAGGTATTCAAAAGTTGGTCCCACGGTATGACCAATGTCTCAATTCCGGTGGCGAATATGTTGAAAAATAGCTGGACACTTGCTGTATCTGTTGCAATAAATATTTCCATGAAATTGTGTTTTGTTTCTGTAAACGGCCCCAGGGAAACTTACTTTGAGGACGCGCCTCATATATTCTTATCATACAATTTTGCACTGAATGCTCCACAATCTCTGCATTATATATTGTCATAAAACAGAACAAGACATAACTACTATTGATGTTAATGTACACGTGTGAATGATGGAAAGAGGGAGTAAATGCGAAAAGAAACTTAAGGAACTGAAGGGCCTGTTAATATTGTGAAAGCATATCTTGGTCCTGATGCAGCTATAGCACAAGTAATGCTATCTATTTTATTTTGGTTTATTTTACAACACTTTCAGCTGCTGAGATTATATGGTACAGAATGATAGGATGAATAATGAATTGGAAAGGTTGTGTACTAATTTAAGGTATTACCCTGGCATTTGCCTAGAAGGACTGAGGAAAACCACAAAAGAACTTGTCAGGACAACCAGTTTCTGGGATGAGACTTGAACCCAGGCCCTCCTGAATAAGAAATAGGAGTGCTAACAACTTGACAGTGATGATCCATAAGTTAATCTTGAACAGAGAAATTTTCATTAGAAATTTAAAATGTTCAAAACAGTATGTATGTTTCATAAATGTGTGCGCATGTGTGTGACAAGATTTCCACGTTGAGAAAATCCTTTGCTGCACAGTTCACATTTGAAAGGTTTTTCACCTGTATGAATACGTTTATGCACCTCAAGATTTCCACTGCGTGTGAACTGCTTTTTGCACACATCACATATGTATGATCTCTCCTTCCTGTGAGCATGTATATGTCTTGAAAAATCACTACTTCTTGAGAATGTTTTCTTACACTGTTCACATTTGTATGGTTTTTCACCTGAATGTGTCTGTTTATGTATAGCTAAATACTTATATCGAGAGAAAACTTTGGTGCAGATTTCACATTGGTAGGGATCTTCCCCAGTATGGCGAACCATGTGCCTTGCAAGTCGTCCATTCTGTTTGAATACTATATTACATTTCACACACTTATATCCTTTCTCCTCCTCAGTGTGAGTTCGTATGTGTGTCAATAGATTGCCACTCTGTGAGAATTCCTTGTTACAAATATCACATTGAAAAGGTTTTTCTCCAGAGTGAGTGCGTACATGTCTGGTGAGATCTCCACTCTGAGGGAATCCTTTGTTGCATATCTTACACTTGTATGGTTTTTCTCCTGTATGTCTACGAAAATGCCTTATAAGTAATTTCTTCTTTGAAAATAAAGTACTGCACACTTCACATTTTAAACACTTAATATTTGCCTTCTTAAGTCTGCCACTTGCAGCAGTAACACATAATGATGAATATAAGTTATTCTCAATACAACTAGCACCTTCTCTGATATATTCAAATTTGTTTCTAAAACAAACATCAGATTCAACTGAGGAAATGTCATTATCTATATACTCTCCTTTTTCCAAGGTCTGCTCAACACTGCAACAAAGAAATTAAATTCAAATAACATATGCCTTTACTGTAAGAGCAGAATTTATACCATCATTAAACACCTGAAAATAAGTTTCTTAAAAAGGTAATTTGCAACAAAGAAAATAACAGCTCTCTCATTTTAAACTAATCTGACCTGTATAATAAACCCTTCGCGAGCTTTGTCCTCATCCTCAGTACCCAGAGGATGAGGACAAATGTGGTTCCTCAAACATTTTTTTTTTCACCTTTCAACCACTTGACAGCTGGTAGCCCGAAAGAAATTTATTATACTTAGTCACTGTGAATCCTCCAGACCACACATAACCTGACCTGATCACTCAACTTGCCTGGACTTGCATTTTGGAGTAATGCAATTCAGTTTCTGGTTGCATAGAGCCCGACACACACTGTTCTAAAAACAATGAACCCATCTGTTCGGTGTTTAATGTTGGCAAAACTGAAATCTTGGCTTCCTTCTGTTTTGTTTGTCATTACAAGAAAGATCGCTGCAATTTCTATAAGACTAAGAAGGTTATTTATAAAGTGATAGTCCATTGAAAAAATCAAAGGTAATGAGGATAGCACCGAGAGCAGAACCATTGAACGTTGTAATTGGAAACCAACAGATGGAGAATGTGGAGCATTTCAAGTACTTGGGAAGCATAATCACGACGGACGCTCTATGCACCAAGGAGGTAAAAGCAAGGATAGCCATGGCCAAGGCAGCTTTCGTCAAGAAGAGGATACTGAGTGACCAACGAAGAAGTATTGAGGAGAGTCAACGAGCAAAGATTACACGAAGGAAAGCTAACTGGCTGGGACATATTATGAGAAGGAATGGATTAATGAGTGACATCATCGAAGGCCAGGTTGAAGGAAAGAGAGGACTAGGAAGAAGTTTGATACAGCTAACCGACGACCTTAAACAAGGAAAGAAGATGACGTTCCAGGAATTAAAGCGAGAAGCCGAGAATAGGGACAACTGGAGAGCTCTTTTTGGGCAGAGCAATGGACCTGTCGTAAGACAGAACACTTAATAATAAGTCCACTGTATTAGGACATACTCCCATTCAAGGAACACCATCCAAAGAACTGATTCAGGTGGTCCCAATATTTTTTTCACTTTCTAAAGACATGTTTGATTTTATATATTTTTATGCATGCCATAATATTCAGAAGATACTAACTTCTCCTTAGTTTTGAGTCTCAGCCTGTTACCTTTATTTTACAATCACTCAACCTTTACCAAGAAACGTTGTCATCGCCTTTTTTTCCTCTTCAGTTCTTCAATAAAAAATAAATATAAACATGTTTCTTGTAATTTTAATGAATTGTTTCATTACTATAATAGATAAAGCTATTATTTAAGCCAAATAAAATTTCAACTTTGAACTGTAGCGCCAAGAAGAAGAAGAAGAAATAAAATTAACACCAAAATCAAGATAATTATTCATATAACACTCACCTTTCCAGGCATATTTCATTGTCCTCTACTTTTATCTCATCCATCACCTCTTCTTTCACTACAGTGACATTACATGACTCCACCTAGTGAACAACAAGACCTAATTAGGAAATAAATGTGCTCCATCTTTAGGGTAAAGGCATCTTCAATATATAGGCAATACAATCCTCCAAAATGTTGATAACCACCTAAAAGACCATAGAGCATCACAACCCATGACAACCACGATCAACACTTTTACTGTCACGCAAACCTCATATCTCGAACTTGCTTCAACATGTTTATACCAGTGGGCTTCAAAAGATTATTATTGTCATTAATTCTTAATTCAAGTAAGCCCACAGTAGTTAGTGTATGTAAGTAAATAGATTATACTGTCATTAGACCACAATCTGATTCTTCTCTTGTGGAACCCCGAGTGTCCAACTTAGAGAGGTTTTACTGTATAATGCACCATAAACTGGAAGGTGTGTGGCAAAACTTTATGTTCCCACAAAAAAATCTCACCTTAACTTCATTCTTTATTAAATGAAATGCTACATTTCGATCTCCCTGTTTTTCACCAATATAAGGATCATAACACAGTGAAGATGCTGGGCACGTCTCACTATCCGAACTAGGTTCCACTTTGATTGCATTCATGTCCTGCAAAAAACACAATATTCATGTTCCATTGACCACAATCAATATATGTTAAAATGATGTTTAAAATTATACCAATCTACAGGCTAAAAAACAGCGAATGATTATTTTCCCATTTACACAAGTAAATGAAGTCCTAATTAATTTTCATCTGTTGAAAATATATAATTTGGAAAGCTGATCATGAATGGCAAGAACTATCCCTATATTTCCCTCACAACAGTTACCTCTCGTCTTCATATGAGAATCAAATTTGGTTCTGCACCTCTGAGTTGGTAATTAACGTACTTATTATTAAAATACACTTAGAATAAAACTTAAATAAATACGACCGTACTATAAAAAAGTGCTTTTCACTACAAGTACTAACGAAATCAATGTGAATTGTTGCATCTTTATTTCTCTATAATTTCATCTCAACTGCTGAAATTGTGTTGCATCAAACAACATACTATTGTTCAATTATGAATGACTTATTTTCTAATAAAACCATTTTTTCTATTACTGTATTGGCATGTTACGTTTGAAAGGACCAAATTACACGAATTCTTGCAAACTTGGACAATGTATCTTTGTTTATTTAACGATGTTGTGTCAACTGTTTAAAATGAGTACTGTGGAATATGAAATAGGTCGAAAAGGATATTCACGAATAGTGATTTGAAAAGGACGTAGCCTATCCAAGGATACTATTCCATAATTATCTTGGAAATAAGAAAAACCATAACACACCTCAGTCACGATAGCTGTTCTCCCTATAGATATACAAATTGAGAATCTGGATATGAAATAGGTTTGCTAACCACTCCACTGCACCATTTCGACAATATCGTTGTTATCAATACATGCATTTTTCTATCTTTTACGCGAGAACAAGCTTGTTTAACTTTAATACTAACGGTCTTCAACCCTTCCACAGCTGTTAACCTCTCATATCCGACACATTCCCTATCCTTCTCTCTGCTACGATGACGTCACTAGTCGCAGTCCTGTCCGACCATGCAGTCGGCAGCTTGTTTTCGATTGCAAAACGCGCAGGGATGCTCAAAGATGTTAAAAATTCGCCAATAACAAATGGAAACAAATTTTATATAATAGGCAATACAACTAAAAATATTAACATTTTGAAGTTTTAAACTTTATATGATCACTGAAGAAGATGTAATGAAATAAATGATTGAAATAGCAGAAACCAACAATGGTGCTTTTTTAAGACAACTGCGGTCTTTAAAATAACACTTTAACACTGTATGACCCAGTGCCCCCAACTTGTTGTCTGGACACCCTCGACTTAAACGTGATCTTGAAAACAACTCAGTTGGTGATTATGAAACAAATCTTGGCTGAAACTGTTTTTCAGTGCATTCATCAGTAGACCATGTTCACGAATGCAAGCTACTGGCACAGTCCAGGGACGGAACCATTGTCCCCTCTCACAATGGGGCAACTTCTGGACGTTGCAGCTGAGCGCTGGGGTGACAGGGAAGCAGTTGTGTCTGTCTTCCAAAATCACCGCATCACTTTCAAGCAAGTCCTAAACAAGGTAACCTACAAAAACTTCCTTTCATTTATTTGTAACGTTTCAGCTGCTCTGCCATGGACCAGGGGAATTTTGTGTTTGGAAGCAGTCATAGTAGGAAGACACTTAACAAAAACAATTATCCGAGAGGAAAAACAACAACATAATTGTAGACAAGGTTGTCTTTAGCACTAAAGACGTAGTTCCAGCTTATAACGCACAAAGAGATCTCAGACAAGGCAACATATTATTAAATCAGTAGTCATACTCAGGGGGCAGATTCCTTGACAGCTGGTGAATTAGTGTCTGTAAAAATCCATCTAGAAATATTTTGTAAATCATCAGCGGCATCCAAGAGCAGATCTCTCTATATTTTGATAAGTCTTCCATTATTCATTTTACATTCGGAGAGTACAGAAAAAATATTTTACAGTATTCCGTCATACATTCCACATAATCCTGCCACTGCCTTTCATAAATTATACTTTTTTTATCAAATATTTAATTGTTCCCTCAAATCATCATGAATTCGAAAATACATAGTAATCACTCAGAACGCTGGCCTTGTAATCCTGGGGTCTCGGGTTCGAATTTATAACTTGTGTTGGGCAAGACCGTGGTCTAGGCAACACGGAGTTTCCCTCCGTGGCATCCCAACAATTACTCCATTCACACACAGAAGAAGGCAATGGCAAACCACTTCTGGATCATCTGCCAAGAACGTATATGAACAGGTCCCAGACCGAGAAAATGATGGAAGGATCCTGTTCATATGGACCTGACCTGTCGTCA